GGCAGAGAGGGCCAAATAAGAATAAATTCTTCATGGTCGCTTAAGGAAAGAAGCTGCCGAGGACGATGACTACGAAGTCTTCTAGGCAGCGGCATGTGCATGGGAGTAACGGATTGCTCACAGTGATGCTACGTTGTGGGAATTATAGCCACATATATAACTAATTACAGCGACTGCGGATGTAGTCTAAGCAAAGGTCTGTACTAAAAACAGAAGTAGTGAGGGGCATTTAGTTTTTTCTTCGTAGCAGTCAATACGTATACAAATCATGAGGTAATAAAAGTAGAGTGAAATACAAAATTAGCGACAGAGAACCAACAGAATCACAACTCTAAAGGGTGGGAGTAGCTGAGAGGAACTGGTAGGCGACTACGACACGTCCCTTGGAATCTCAGATGAGTTGAGAACTGAGACACGTAAGGAAGAATGTGCGCCGCTGTGCAACCCACCTCAGCTATCTTTACCCTCAATTGTGGGCGTTGGTACCGTCATCAACGACGTCATACCATTTCCCACCGATATGAATTCGACTTGGCTTGAAATTCGGACATTCAACGCGAACATCGATCAGTTTGGTTTCACTGGTTTCTTCTAATATCACGGACAGGACCATGTCAATCATCATACCGTATTCGGATTCTAACGGTGTCACACAAATCTGAAATCAATTGATCGCTTTTATTCATGTGCTCTGCCTGCGGCAGCGTTCATACTTTGCGGCGCAAGCGCTTCGGTCAGCGCGTTCGACGCAGAAGAGAGCAGCGCGACAGCTGCCGTCGCAAAGTCAGGTCGCTGCGCAAGGGTATCTCTCCGATGCAACTTAAAGGCAAAAATCATGATGAATCGACAAAGCGCACAGGTCAATACGCCTAGCGCCAAAGAACATTGTGCCCTTTGACAAGCGCTGCATGGCTCCTTCTCCAACAAAGCACGGTTAATAGGCGCTAACAATGTGCAACATGCCCATCAGATGCCCACAGCAACCTCCCGCCCTCAAGTGGCCAGACAGTCACATCGACGCTGGTGCTCCTATCGCTTCATTTATGAAATGAAAGTGATATCACGCGCTGCCACATAGGCATCCAGAAACATGCGCACTATAGAAGCGGCTGTAGGTACGATGTCGATGGGAAACTCGTCCAAATTCACTCGTACAGTGTCAGGCAGAAGGAAGGCCGTTTTTGGCAGGTTTTGACGTTGTTTTTGCGTTCATGTAAGGACGCAGTCGGCAGTGAAAGACTGACGCACCATTTTTCTGCCTGCTCGCGATTTATTCCTCAAAAGGCATACGTACGGTGGTTCGCCTAACGATGAGTGCACAGTCAATGAGCAAAAGTCTTGCCCAGCTCGAACATACAATGGAAAGTGCGCAAAAGTGTCACTTACAGCTTGAAGTAAGGGAACGTCGTTTATCCCAAGCCCATCCTAGCCCGACTGGTCTGATGGCTCATTCGTAGACTACGAAACGACAACAAGGTGCCGTTCTGGACCGGTGGCTTCTAGTGCGATTAACCGTGGAAATACTTACCGAGTCAGGTACAATACGTCCTTTTGCTTTTGGAAGTCCGCGCTGGTTAGCCTGATCATTTGGCGCTGATTCGACCGCTTTTGATGAAGACACTTCACGCCTGTGCTCTGCTCCACTCGACCGTGACGAGGACGCACTCAAGAAAATCATAATAAATATTGGTCAAAAATGTTTGCTTATCTTGAAGACCAAATTTAGAAGGCTGAAAGCGCGTCAGCTGGGAGCGGGCCCATGAAACTGGTGGGATGGGCAGGTGACCAAGTCAAAGCTCCCGTTACCTCTATGGGAACTAAAACGGGAAGGAGGGCACCCGCAAGGGCTTCCATATCCATTCCACTAATCAGGATGACGAGAGACTACGTCTTGTCTGCAGGACTATAGATCGACAAACTCTGGTTGTGTGCTTTCTGAACTCGGAGTCATTTTGGTGAAGGGTCACAGAGGCACGCCGAGTCCCCCCCCCACTGCGTCAGCACCTCTGTGTGCTGCGTATCTGTTTGTGGAACTACTACATTGATCAATGAAATGCAATCTGTACAGACCTTCTGAGACTTTCCAACAAAAAAATTAATATGTATAGTGAAAACAATAAGTAAAAATTAACATAATAAGCAGAAGCGAGCCGATACCGTGGCACGTGTTTGGGGAGGGGGCGTTATTGGACTTACCCTCCAGTGCGGCTGATGATGCACGTTATTGGCACGTTATGTTTGCTCGTCTGCTTCCTCTCACGGGGAAGCGTATCATAGGTGTTAGCTGACGTCGGAATATGTCACCCTTTCGCTGCACCCTCCACTCCAAACAGCACGGCAATGAAGAAAAAAAACGAGCGAACTTGTTAGGAATACCCTCAAAGGCCTGCTAATCTTTAGTTTCTGACGAGCTTAAGGCAAAAAGAGAACAGGGACAAGACAATCGCAATCTGCCGCTCTGTCGCACGCGGCGCATTGCAATTGTCGCGGCGTCACCTTGTCAATTTGAGTAGCGAAAATCATATGGGCTCGAAAGGGACAGGACTCGATGCCGCGTAATATCTATCATACTGTCCCCTTAGCAATCATGCTCATAGGGTAAAGTAGGAGAGCTCGTCTCTCGTGTGCGCGGCGTCGCTCGTCGCGCCTAGTGCGGCGCATTACTATCTTGTCACATGCCCAGTGGGGCGATATTTCTCAAGAGGAGGGGGACTTTGAAGCGAGATTTAGCTGCCTTATTTATTGACAGGTAAATTTGCATTATGCTGGTAGATCTTACCTTATTGGCTTGAGGTGTGAGAAACACAACCTCTGCCGCAGCTACCGCGCCTCGAGGTTTACATACTTTACGCTAGTTAAACTCACCAGGAGGGCCCGCATGTGGAGCATCGTTCAACGGACGTGTTAGAAGTGCTCCTCTGGAAAACACCATAGTATTTCGGGGCATTTCCAGAGAGAAAGCTTTGAAAATCAGTTCCCTAACTGTTTTGGCTGCTCTGATAATCTATTTGCTTTCAAGGCTAGAGTATATCGAACCCAATTCATTATGAACTTTTCAGAACACCAAACCTTTACTATGAAAATTCGGGCTCTGTCTGGCTTTGAGGGGCTAGATGCCCTTCGGCTTCGGCAGGCGCTGCGTGGCTCTTTTTCCAACCAGGGGCACCTTATAGCGCTCAGCCATGATGTAATATTCCACCCAGACGCCCACCGCAAGCCCAGCCCACCCGCCACAAATGGCCGGACAAGTCACATCGACACTGGTGCTCTTATCGCTTCATTTATGGAATACAGTAGATATGAAGCCTTGCTACATGGATATATGGATATACATACGTGCAGCCTATTTACCAAAGCGGCTGCTGGCCCGGTGCCCACGGAAAACTCCTCCAAAATGCTCGTCCAATTGCCAGGCGGGAACAAGGCGTTAATTCTGCGATGTTCTTTTAGTCTTTCAACTTCGCCCTGTGTCATCACTTTCCCACTAATCTATATAGCACCCCGCTTTTCGGAGTAAGTGACAAAGTCCCCTCAGGCTCTCAAAAAAGCCAACAAAATTATTAAGTGCCAGGAATGGCGGAGATTTCCTATTTAGCCAGGCGAGAAAACAGTTTTCAGAGGGTGAACTTGCCTTACTGCTGCGCTGGAAAGAGGTTCTTCGCGCCACAATGTTCTCTGGTTTGACTCATGGTGTTTTACTTATTCTGTTGCGCGGCTAGGGGCAGTTAGCTGGTTTGCAGGAGGGTATTAGAGCGCAAATGTAGTCCATCCTAATAGATAAGCGCATTTTGCCTTCATCTTTTCTATGCTGGAACTACTGAGGGATGTTGGCGCACTTCGGCTTGGTGGAGGCACCAAATGCTGCACCGCCGAGCTTTCGAACTGTACCTCGTAGAGACGTAAAAATTTCTGTAGCGGACGTGGCTCATTCGCATTTTTCTTACTATTAACCTCACAAGACCTTACAAACTACTTAACAGGTTTCGCGAAATGAACTAACAAAAGGGCAAACTTTCTCCCTCCCCCATCTCCCCCATATCTCAGCCAAACAGTCCCCGTTTTGTTTTCTAACGAGTCTGTAATAACGTTCTTCCAATTGCAAGGTTCCATGAATGTGTTGAAACGCAGTTTTATTTCAGCTCTTGAGTCAATGTAATAATGATATATGGGCCATTCTTACATTCTTTCTGGAGCAGAGGTTGATCTCGTTGAGGTTGCTTTCCTGGCCAGCCTTCACCACATCGACGCGATCACCTCGCTGCGGTAGACGTTTGAGAATCTACAAGGAGAGATGGTGGACTGGAACCAAACAAGAGAACGGACTAGTAGTGGAACCTTTTGACTGAGACACTCACGTGTTCTATGTCAAGAATCGTTGCCTTGATGAGGTCGTTTACGCTGGAATGAACGCTACGAGCATTACCACCTGTCGGCATGAATGAGAAATTTGCAGAATGGAATCTGGTATGAAATGAACCTCCCTTCGCTATATTCGCTAACACAATCGTTTAATCACCAGGTATCAGTGAAATGAACGTGTGGGAGATATCTTTTTGACAACGCGTGGGCTATCTTGGAAGAAAGCTGTCCCTAAAAATGTGGTTTCTTTGCCACGCCATCGATTCGTAAACATGCGGAAATTTCAGTCCCACACTGAAATCAAGACGCATTTTTTGCGGAAGGCCATTTATTGGATTGAAAAAATAACTGGAAAGAGCAGACAGAAGGGGCATTGGAAAAATCTAAGAACCAGAAATTTGCCTTTAAAAGGCACAGTTCGCGACCGCAAATTTCGCGGGAAACGGAACTCAAATAGGCACAAAAAAGTGCTAAGTATCTGATTAGCGGAGAAAAGCAGCAGAAAAAGCAGTCCGAAATGTTATAGAGAAAGATAACATAGTGGCTACTAGCTAGTAGCTAGCAGCCGGTGAGGGTCGGCATGGGCCTAATTAGCCAGCTTCTGGCGGAGTTCTTGCCGTTTTTCACATTTTGAAAGTAGCGCAGCCTCAAAAATCGCCTTCCGGGTCGTCCGACACATTTGAGAGGTCATAGCCTTATTTTTTCGCGGAATGTGCCTTTAAGCGCCACTAGGTCAAGATACTCTAGGGCAGGAAAAATAGCTTCCACGGCTTCCACAAGCAGGTGCAGACGAGCAGGGATTTCAAAAGCTTAGTTGACCATGTTAGTGACAAATGCAAAAAGTTGAGTACGGGAAACGAACTCTCTTTCGCTCCTGGCCCATCCGTATCACTACACCTGAAACTCTGTGGTTACGTTTTTTTTATGTTCCCGTCACTTCGTAAGGAATAGTCAGGCGCTCCTCCTTCTTGTGCACCGAAGCGAGCCGGTATGGCTTGGAAGAACGCCCAATCTTTAGTGAAAAAGGTGCCAGAAGATCATGGGGCAGTTTGAACAAAAATAAGAGATGGAACTTCAAATCACTCTTCATTATCAGATCCCCCTCGCTAATTCCTATCTTTCGTCTGTGATCTTCTCGAGAACACCGTACCATCCAGTCCCGCGCCGGGTCCTGTGACCGTTTGGAGTTGATGCGACAAACGGTCAAAAGGCATGTAGTACTGTATGTGTACAATGTGCATCAATGTTACCCCCTCCCCTCACCCCAGAAGGCACAACTGCAGATCCATGGAGGAGCAGTAAAGAGAAGATTTTCATCTGGAACGCAAATCAAAGTCGGATGATCATGGAGACGGGGAACAAAACTATTTGCACAAGGACGAAGGTTACAAATTGCTTCAGCGCCGAGACTGTCTTTGATATGAAAGGAGACAAGTGTCTCATCGTCTTTTGCTGCTTACTAACGGTTCACTCTACCTCCATTGGGGATTGTTCTCGGATTTCTGTATTTCGCGAAGATTTGCCGTAGTCTTCTTTCCCCCTTCGAACGTGTCTTCATCCGGCCTTATCGTATCGTCATTGCTCACAAGCACATTCCACATCGTCAGGGCTCACTGGGTATGTTTGAGTTTGCGGAATCGTCCCGATCTGAGAACGAGCCAGGGTGCCAGAATGAAACTTCTGAGGATGATCCTCCTACTGCTCCTGTCGGCCACGGTCCCAACACTGACAGCAAAGAAGCCTGTAAGTTCAGTACTTGAACGATTAACAACAAGTAATCACCTCTAAGGTCAATCGAAACGTTGCATACTGTTCAGGACGAGCACAGCATCATGCTGTGTATTCAGTGGTGTGAGGAACTCAAAAGGTACAATACCAAATTGCCAAAAACGGTTGACTGCGTACCCGAATGCAACAAATCCGTTGATTTTATCGTTTCGCCTGACCTAAGGGTGTAATAAGGCTGCCATGTTCTTGTATTGTGTGTGGCGACGATAAATGTGTCGTTCACGTAGTTGTTACAGTTGAAAGCTCTTAGAGCTTAATGGACATCCACAGCAGTTGCACTCAACAACACATGCAAAAAATATGAAGTGATTGCAATGAACTTCACAAGAGAACTTTTTCAAGCATCTGGCAGCGCAGGCACCTCATGCATGTCACTACAGCGCTGGTACTCTACATTGTGTGGACTCAGGGCTTACCAAAAGGGATAATCCGGTTTTCATGACTGCTGCTCATCCTCTTTGAGAGAAACTGTACAGTCACCTGCGAAGACAGTGTTTGCCATGTGTGAAGGTGAATGAGGTTTGTTGCAGCAGTAGGTCACTTTCTCCTCTCGAACAAGGGAACAGAGCTGTGAAGTAGTCCTCCCGAGTGCCGTCTAGGTGCTCGGCGGCTGCCGCACTGGCGTCCTACTCTCGTCTGGCAGGGAACACGCACTCAGTAGTAGATCGCTAACCAGAACCGCAGAGGCTAAACCGCAAGCTGGCGGGCCTTTGACTATGGTTGCGGCTGGCCGCGGGCAGCGTGGGCGGAGTATGGGAAAAGCATGGGATATCACTGCTCTCCAACCCCAATTCCTTACACTTTTAAGCGGAGTAGCGGCACTCCTTTACATTGTGAACCCACTCACCCCACA